AGAGAGAGAGAGAGAGAGAGAGAGAGAGAGAGAGAGAGAGAGAGAGAGAGAGAGAGAGAGAGAGAGAGAGAGACTTATAGTACTATACCGCTAGCAAGTTGACCTCGGCGTTTCTTGTGGTGACCCTAAGAATTTGAAGCTCACGTTGTCGGGGCAAATACCCCGACAAGGGTATTTGTCGGGGGTTTTCAAAGTCGGACGCTGTCTGACTCTTTCGTTGAATTGGAGGACTTGATAAGACTGATGTTTGCCAAAGTTTATTCAGATAAACCCAAGTGACTAAGACTTTTTGTGAATCAGACGTCGTTGACGTCTGACTGAAATGAATTTAGTTGCCAGTATGGCGGGTCGTTAGCAGTTTTTGATAGGGCCGCAGGGGCACGTGGTCGTGGAAAGACTAAAGGTAGATTATTCTATCTAAAAGACTGACGCGTGCCTGATAAGACGCGCAATTCAGGGCTTTAGAAGGTCAAAAAGGTGGTCGCGTCAGGGGTCAGATCCGCGGCGCGAGAAAATTAGGAAGGATTTTTTTTTTTTTTTTTTAAAGGGTCGCTGGGCAACCGCGTACGCAGCTAAGGCTAATGGGCTAGACCACAAGCTGCTGGGTCAGGACGCCGTCGGCTCGGCGGCAGTGCGGCTGGCTAACGGGAGGTACGACAGGCCGAGTCTGCTTCGGCTGCAGCAGATGGTAGGGGGCAGCTCTTCTTCCAGTGATACGAGTTGGCCCACACCACGAGGACAATAGATGCGCCTACATCCATCCAGTCTATCGATGAGATATCCATATATTTTTCAACTGTGGCCAAGACTCGGGGGTTGTACATAAGAACCATTTTGGTCTCCTTCCAGTGTTTATTCCCTAATTTTTCCGCAGGTCTATCGTCCGTGAGTGAAAAAATCTTCATGAGGGTCCATTCTGTAAGGAATCCCAGCTTCAGTTTGACCTCGTCATTAGTGGTGAGTGGCGGTGGGGGACAGTCCTCTCCTCCCTGCCGTGGTGGAGGGGGTAAGATGACATCTACATCACCTTAGGAGGGTGTTGGCTGTTCGACTGCTGCTGCAAGGTGTGACTTGGGGCGGAGATATCCATGTGAAGAGGTTCGTGCCTGTCCTCGGCTGAGTTCGGGAGTGCTATGTCCGGGAGACCCAGTAGGAGCGGGCTCTGCTGCGCTTGTAGCTTTTGTCGTTCGGCCTCCTGCTGCCAAAATATGTGTAATTGAGGCTGCTGCTGATTCAAAATCTGTTGTTGTTGGCAACACAGTTGCTGTTGCCATTGCATGTGTAGTTGTTGAAGGATTTGCTGCTGCTACATCAGCCTGTGCTGTTTTTGCTGATGGTGGTACTGTGTCAGCTGGGTTCGCAGTAGGAAGTGAAAATGTTCCCGATAGTCTGCTTCGAGCGTGTAGCGTTGGGGTTGCTGTTGTTGTTGAGCGTGCAACAATGTTTGGTTTTGGTGTTGTTGTTGCGGGTGGAGCCCTGTCTGCCATTGCACGGGTTGCTGCTTCCCGTGAAGCAATTGTTGTTGCACAAGAGTTTGATGTTGTTGCTCCCATTGTGCTTGCAATTGCAACTGACATTGCTGTTCTGCCCGGGCTTGCAACATTTGTTGTTGGTGTGGCTCCCCGTGCTGCAATTGTTGTTGTGCAAGAGCCTGATATTCCAACTCCATTTGTGCATGCAGTTGCAATTGCACCTGGCGTTGTTGTTCTGCTTGGGCTTACAGCATTTGTTGTTGGTGTTGCTGCTGTTGTTCCCGCTCTTATTGGGCATACGACAGTTGTTGTTGTGTTTGTGACTGTTGCCCTTGAGTTATTAACATTTGCATCTGCATATGGCACTGGTTTTCTACCTGAGCTTGGTGATGGTGGTGCAGAGCTCGTTGCTGCTCATATTGGTGTTGCTGTTGTTGTTGGGTTTGCAGCTGTTGCTGCACGAGCATGGTTTGCTCCTTAGCATTCTGTGATTGTTGTTGCTGCCACAGGTGGTCGTGGGGCAACTGTTGTTCCTGCCGCTCTATTGACTGGACCAAGTGTTCCCGACCCTGCCATTAGTGGAACTGTTGTTGTTCCATCGGCAACTGCATTTGGCGTTGTTGTTGCTCCACTTGAATATATTGCAGTTCCTGGAGTTGCTGGTCTTGTTGTTGCAATTCCCCCTGCGGTATGCGGTCATTAGAGAGCGCAAATGGGTAACCATTGCCCGTACCCAGCCGTACCCAACTGTAACCGCCAGGTTACGGGCAGGTATGGGTACCCCTTCCGAAGGGGGAGTTGGGTATGGGCAGGCACAAACAAAAGGTGGTGGTTGTTAGGACGGGCACAATTGCTCTTTTTGGAGATCATGGGTGAGTAGGGGCAGATAGGGGTACGGGTAAAAAAAAAATAATTGGGTATGGGCGGCCAGAAAAAAAAAATAGACGGGTATGGGCAGGTACGGGTGACCGAAAAAAAAAAATGGGKGGGTAGGGGCGGGTTGAGGTTCCCATCGGATAACCGTGTTATACCCGATGTGAGTCTTGTAGCTTTGCAGACTTTGTATTTTTGCTCATGCGTGACGCTTTTCTCATACTCCAAATTTCTCGCTTTCCTATGAAGCAAACATTGTTTCTCGCAAGGATGAATTTTATCTCTTCATTTTTTTTATTTCTTTGTTTTTTTCATTTTCAGACTATTTTCATATGTGTGTAACCCTGTGTATGCAATATTTATATGTCTTTGTTTGTGTTGTGTGTGCATGTGTGTGTGAGAGAGTGTACGTGTGTGTAACGACTCTAACGAGGCTTGTACGCTAGTGCCTCAACCGTGGTATACCCGATGTGAGTCTTGTAGCTTTGCAGACTTTGTATTTTTGCTCATGCGTGACGCTTTTCTCATACTCCAAATTTCTCGCTTTCCCATGAAGCAAACATTGTTTCTCGCAAGGGTGAATTTTATCTCTTCATTTTTTTTATTTCTTTGTTTTTTTCATTTTCAGACTATTTTCATATGTGTGTAACCCTGTGTATGCAATATTTATATGTCTTTGTGTGTGTTGTGTGTGCATATGTGTGTGAGAGAGTGTACGTGTGTGTAACGACTCTAACGAGGCTTGTACGCTAGTGCCTCAACTGGGGCTGAATGGGGGAGCCCATTCAGCGTCAGTGCCCGCGTCCGCTGTCTGGTTAGGTTGCTCCAGTAGAGAGTGATGTTCCTCGCATGAGATAAGATAGAAAAGGAGTGGGGGTGCACCAGGAGATATATTGAGAGAGGTGGTAGGATGGGAGTCTCGAGAGTAAGGAAAAAAAAAAAAAAAAAACGTGTGTGCGACAGACCGAGTGTTGTTGCTCTTGCAGATGCTATACAGGTAGCATAGGTTGTTGTAGCACCAGATGCATCCATAGCAGCATCAGAGTGACCAGATGTAACAACTGTTGCTGTTGCGGCAGTAGCTGCATCAGCTGCCACATCTCAAAAACAATAAAATAAAATAATAATATTAATAATAATAAAATTACCACGTGAATCTTATGACGTTTAGGGGGTTGGGAACAGTTGGGGGCGATTAAGGACAACTAGGGGCGGTTAGGGCCAATTAGGAACAATGAAGGCCGATTTAAAAAAAAAAAAAAACTTAGGGGTGGTTAGGGACAGTTAGGGGCGGTTAGAAACAGTTAGAGGCGGTAACGGGCGATTAGGGGAGGGTCGGTGACAAGCATGGGTGGTTACAGGTGGGTGCATACAATTATGGGTAGGTACGGGTGAGCACAGGTTAAAAAAACTTGGGTAGGGTAGGGTATGGATGGTTAACAAACGGTATGGGTTCAGGTGGCCATGGGTCATTTTAAAAAAAAATGTTCATGGGTAGGTATGGCCAATTACATGCTGACGAAGTTCGGGTAGGGTAGGTCTGGGTATACGTTTTTTTTTTTTTTTTTCGCAGGTGGAGATGGGTAAAGGTCCGGCAGGCCAGATATACAATGGGTATGGGTGGTTAGCTTTTAGAGAGGGTGTGGTTTGGTCAGGTATAGGTATTCCTAAAAATCCCAATTGCGAACTCTGGCGGTCATGGACCATGGTGGCCATTCAGAGGTTGTTGCGGCACCCGGTGGCTGGTCAGTTGCTGTTGTTGTTGCTGCCAGACCCGGTTGTGGATTCATTGCTGCTGCAGCTTCAGTCCTCGGTGCTGAGGCTCTTCGGCCAGCAAGGCAGGTAAGGGTTCCTGATGGTGGTCATTCCAAGGGGGCTCGGGATGAAGTCGTGCCGGTCCGGTCCCGTGCGGGCCATCCTTCGGGGGCCCTGTCACAATCTCTTGTACCTCATTGGGAGTCTCCTCGGGTGGGAGGGGCCTGTGGGGAGGAGGGAGGCGACATTCGTCGTTGTCACGAGAGCACTGTTGTTCCCCTTTTAGCCCTGATGCCAACTCGTGTAGCTCAGTGGGGGACTCCTGTCGTGGGAGGGAACTGTGGTGAGGCAGGAGGATGCCTCCATCCTTCTCGTGGGAGCACTGTTGATCCCCTTCTTTATTCGTGGACTGCGTATCAGGGCCAGGTCGTTTTACTTTTTGCAGTTCCCAATGCTGTGAAAAGGCCACGTCTTTAATCTTGTGAAGGAGGGTATTGACTTTAAGCCACATGTGTTGTGGCTTGAGTGTTTCCGCCTTCCCATGTTCCTCCCTTTTAAGGGAGCAACCATCCCCATGCAGTACTTGAGCTTCGTGTTTCTGTGTCGCTCCAGTGTGGGGAGGTGTGGGTGAGGGCAACTGCTTCTGGCGGACGGTTGAATTGAGGGGCGTTTTAAGGGGCAGGAATTTTTTTTCCCCAGTTACTTCGGAGACTACCTCCTTCATGTTGGCGGTGTGCCAGGTGTTCCTTACATTCCCTAGTACCGACCCCAGCAACCCCTGTCCAGGCAGGGGTGTGGTCGGGGGTGAAGGGGTTAACAGTCCCGTGGCCTGTGGTGCCTGCTGATGGCCAGTTGTCTTATGAGCTCCCTTCTTCCACGGCGATTGAGGCTCAGGCTTATTCAACTGGCCTGTTGCTGTTAGCAGATGGTGCCTGACTGTCTCTCCCTGAACCCCTTGACCTTGTGGTCAGCTCTCCGGTCCAGAAGCTGTGACTTTCGTGCTTGTTATCACCTCTGTGTCTGTAATCGCCTGTTTCGGCCCCGGTGGTCCTGCTTCAGCAGGGGGTGTATGGGTCAACAGTTTGTCGGCCTGTGATACCTGCTGTTGGCCAGTTCTCGTCTGAGGAGCATCCTTCTTCTGCGGGGGTGAGGGGGTCAACAATGTCGTGGTCTGTGGTGTCTGCTGATGGCCAGTTGTTTTCTGAGCTCTATTCTTCCTCGGCGATTGGGCCTCAGGCTCATTCAGCTGGCCTGTTGTTGTTAGCAGATGCTGCCGGACTGTCTCTCTCTGAACCCCTTGACCTCGTGCCCGACTCTCCGGTCCAGTAGTTGTGATTTCCGTGATTGTTATCAGCCCTGCGTCTGTAATCGCCTGTTCCGGCCCCGATAGTCCTCGTCTAGCAGGGGTTGTATGGGTCAACATCGGCCTCCAGTCCAGTAGCTGTGATTTTCGTGATTGTTATCAGCCATGTGTCTGTAATCACCTGTTCCGACCTGGGCAGTCCTGGTCCAGCAGGGGGCGTATGGGTCAACAGTCTATCGGCCTGTGGTACCTGTTGTTGGTCAGTTCTCGTCTGAGGACCATCCTTCTTCTGCGGGCGAGGCCATTCAATCTGCTGATGGCTCTCTGCGTTTGCCCGTTTATTCGGTCCAGGTTTTTAGGGGGTCAGGCCACCCCGAGGAGGGGCGGCTCTAACTGGTCCAATCTTCCGACAGGGCGGTCAACCTTGGGTCTATATGCTTGGGGGGGCGCTAGCTGGCCGGGCCCATCACGGGGCCGGTGGCCAGGCGGGGCCGGCTTTGCTTCAGCCCTTTTACCCTTGCTGCCTTCAGTCTGCCCTCTCCTGGCTCCGTCCAGCTTGGTTGGTCCGCTTGCTCTGTTCCTGTCCCCCGCCTGTGTGTTTTTTTCTCAGCTTTCTTTCTGATCGTGGTGAGCCCCACGTTTGCCCTTCTTTCCGTGGTCATTGTCAATGACGACCTTGGCCCCGGAAGGAAAGGCTGTTGGTTGGTCCTTCCCCTGCCACAACCATCTCCCTGGACGCCCATCTGCATAAGCTCTGAAGATCCAACCCTCCAGTTGTTTCTCTTCCGGGTACCATCTCTCCTCATCCGTGGGGTGGGGGGGGTCACCAACCCTTTAATCTTATTTTTATGATTTGATTGACAGATGTCGTCAGTATAGAGGTGCCCCCGTGCCTTGCAAGCATAGCACCACGGGTCTTGGGTGTGGCTAACCAGGACTGAGAACTCCTTTCCCCCGTGCGAGTATCTCCATTCGTCATTGAGGGGAAGGGGTAGTAAGAATCCTAGTCCACAACGACCAACAGGGAGTCATCCCGTTTGCCCAGAAATTGCGGGAGATTGGTAATATACCCCTGTACACGGGCAATGTTCTCAAGGTCAGTGAGGATGGCCCCTTGCACGCAGAGCGGGGCAAATATGAACTCAACCTAGATGTTCGATTTCATTAAGTACTCCCTCCCTTCGTCATTGGACTGTAGGTCAGCTGGGCTCCATGCTATGATTTGCACAGGTTTGCCTCTGAACTGCGGGGATTTGTTTCTCAGTAGAAGGTGCCTGTCTGTCGAGTAGAGAGCAACTATCGTGATGCAATTTGGGTTGTCCACCTCGATGAGGAAGTGATCGTGGACTAGCTGGTGTTCCGGTTTGATGAGCCCAAGTTTGTCTATGATCCATTTGACCTTGTCGTTGATCGGATGTGCCGATTGCATTGGTTGAAAGCGGAAACACACGACTTTTTGTGAATAGATCGTGTCCCTCATGGTCTTTGCTTGGGCGGGGAAGACTGGATGGGGGTAGATATACCCATCTTTGACCTGGAACTTCCTCTCTGGCTCCACATACAGTTGTTGTATGAAGTGGCTCTTAAGCGGGGCAATGGAGTCCAGGGTGGAGGACTTGT